TGGAACGAGGAGCACGGATGATACATTCGTTTAAGGCGCCGCAATTCGCTGTGTTCAGTTGCGTCCCTTGGTGCTCCAGGAATCTATGATACCGGTTTCGAATCCCGGTTCTCGCTGATTATGTTTATAGGTTTGTCATCATCATAGCGGGACTCGTGGACTTCACCAAAGTGGTAAACGGCTAAGACATCGGGTTTTTGAAATAATGTTCAAACCCGCGTTAACCGAATCACTCAACGTTACTAATTCTGTAAATCTGCACAATGTTAGCTTTCCTCCAACATCAATCTGGCACTCCGTGATTTAACTGCAATACTGTTCAAAGCGCCGTTAATTCACCCCACAGCTGACCTTTAGTGTACCCCCCCATAAAGACATATGTACAGTTTATATACACTCTTAAAAAATAAACGTACAGGTAGTTTTTTAGTAAATTTATTGTACCTAATGAGGTCGATATATTTATTTTCATATCATAGATTCAAATATGAAATTGTGGAGCTCGATAGTCACAGGTTGTCGTTGTACAATGGCATATAACCTGTTCATTGTCATGTCACATAAGGCCACAAGGTTGCGCTAAACTCAGTATCTCGTGTGACCACCGCGGGCAGCAATCACGGCTCTGCATCTCCTCGGCACTGACTGGATAAGTGTACGAATTCTGCCCTGCGGAATTCTGTGCTATTCTGCTGGTTACGCCTTTGTCAGTTGTGGTGTGTCTGCGCCTTTTCTGACGTTGACGTACACGTCGATCGAGTTCACTCCAGTGGTGTTCGATTGGGTTGAGATCTGGAGATCTCGACTGCCAGGGCAAGACATTCATGTTCGCATTATGAAGGAAGTGACACGAGCTGTGTGCGGTGGAGCTTTGTTCCTGTTGAAGAAGGTGAGGTTAAAGAATTTGAATCATATATCGATTTTCTGTTACATTTCCTTGAACCACAACCAAGTCAGATCTCGTGGTGTAGGATATGGCCACACCATGGTACTACCGCCGCCGAAATTGTCGAATTCACGTACACAATGTGGGTCAAAACGATCATTTCGACGACGATAAGCACATTGTCTTCCTTATCGCTGGTGAAGAAGAAATCGTGATTCATCGCTGAACCACACTGTCAGTTTCTCAAATTCCAAGGATGTAAAGTATAGCGCCAACGCGAGCGTCGCTGTCGATGATCTGTTGCAAAACAGGGACGATAACTGGTCTTTTGGGTCGGATTCCAGCCTCGGGAGATGATTCCTGACAGTCTGGTCCGATATCCTCCGCAACCAGTCTCCGGTCTGCAGTGGTATTCAACTGTGTGTATCGCTCCCAAATGCGGCAAATGGTGCTGTGGTGGACGTTGAAGTGGCGTGCAACAGAAGACTGCGATTCCCCTCTTTGAATACCTCCTATGGCGACGTAACGATCGGCAGCGCTGAGTCTCGGCATTTTCGAACTTGAAAAATGTTGACAATTGAATGACAAATTATTGGCGTATGCTTGCCTTTTTATAGCCACTACCACGAGTTACGAATGCCATAACTTGCACGTGCATTTTGCTTTCCTGTTTTCCTCCATGACATTTTTGAACAAGTTTGAAAACAATGCCGTTTAAGACATTGCCAATCGACAATGGCTCCGTTTTGACGCACAGTTTGTCGAATATCAGGCCACCAACATTTTGCAAAAACATATATCTATATTCTATACCGGATTTTTTGTGTAGTCAGGTTCAATGACCCACATACTACCTGTGCGTTTCTTTTTTTGAAGAGTGTATGTATCATTGTCTGCTTGTTAATATTTAGTATTGAATATATCTATCGTTATAATGTGTAAGTCTACGTCACATGCACTTAATCGTAGAGGTTCAATGAATAAACTACTTCCAATCAATCAGTTAAACAGTCAATCGTGGAAGTGACAGTTCAATGAGATCCAATATCCGTGAAAAGCGTACACCCTTACACTACACAGTCCATGGCATGTATACAACCCAATAAAGCCGCTATCAAGTGTAAAGTAAAATCTCTATATTGAGGTGGAAATACAACTGATTGCAAAATTTTTTTGTTGTACTCAGTTGAACCACAAATACGCTCTTACCGTGCATGTCTTTAAACCCACCACTGAACCTGAGTGCACCCGATCAAGCAGTTAACCCGCCGAAGGATATATTGCTGAAATTGATTGAACAGTTTTGTTTAAATCCGTCATCAAAGAAGAGCCACATCTAATTTGATATTTCTATCCCGATTATTTAGCTGAGATGACAATGATGACGTCATATATCTAAAAATTAAAAATGTATTTTATTGACTATAAATGGTGAAAGACCGGAAGTTCGAGTTGATCGGTAACTTCAAGGTGTTTCATGTTTGTTGTGTTAATGGCTAAACATAGGAAGGTGCCCCTGTGGTGGCTTGTATCAATTTATTGATCGTGTTTCATTTTACTTCTGAAGACATTTTGCAGCAATAAAATTCTTAATTATATTCTTTTCATCTTGAGTCTTTTGTCAGCATGCACTATTAAACAACTACTCAAACTGATAAATAGACATTTTGATATTGACTTAATGTAAACAACACATTATTTTCTAAGAAAGTGTAAAAGTATCATTTGAGATAATTATTGTGTATTTCCAGTATGCCTGGTGTTTTATATGCTGCAGTTTAAAAAATCTTCAAATAAAAGAGTCTTCAACAAGCAAATACAGTCGAACCACGTGATCTCGTACCTCGCGGCACCGTTTTGTTACTTCGTGACAGCGGGCAAATTTATGTATTGATATAGTGAACTGTCGGGACCGGAGAATTGGTTCGACTGTATATATGTCGTATATGTTTAACGCCGCACTCAGCAATATTACAGCTATGTGACGACGGTCTGTAAATACTCGAGTCCGGACCAGACAATCCAGTGATTGATAACATGAGCATCGATTCACGAAATTGGAATACGATGACATGAATCAACCAAGTTAGCCAGCCTGGTTCGATTCCCCATATGGGTACAATGTGTGAATCCCATTTCTGTGTCAACCACCGTGACGTTGCTGGAATATGTATAAAGGCGGCCTTAAACAATAGTCACTCACTCACTCTTATAATTTAAAAATAATTTTCATATTATTAGCAAACAACGGTAATGTTTAACGAAACGATTCCAAATTATTCAACACGAACGTTTCGCGTGTTCGTGTCACCCTATTGTTGTTGCAGCTGATTCTGAAACAAGTTATTTTGATAAGTAAATCTGACGCAACCTTAGTCCATTAGGCAAAATAAAGCTAATTTGACATCAACCTTAACATGTTTTAAGTCAGAGAGATCACTCGAATCAATGGATTCCATCTTCCCGAGGCAAGGGGTTATCTCAGTTACCAGGATTCCGGGAGAAATTTCTCCATTACAGAATACCATACTAAATTATATCACAAATATCCCATTTTAATATTATTACTCGTGATGTCAGTAAATAATTGATTCCGGGGTGAAACAGGTCTTCAGCAACCCATGCTTGCCGTAAAGGCGACTATGCTTGTCGTTAGAGGCGACTAACGGGATCGGGTGGTCAGGCTCGCTGACTTGGTAGATGTCGTCGATCCCAATTGCGTGGCTCAATGCGCATGATGTCAATCACTTGATTGTCTGGTCGAGACTCGATTATTTACAGACCGCCGTCACATAGCTGTAATATTGCTGAGTGCGGCGTTAAACAACAAACAAAGTAAATAATTTCAGCATTCGAATCCCGTTCGTCCAATTGTTCCTTCACCAAATTCTATGATAAAAAAGTTCCGTCATGGCGACGTGATGTTTCACGAACAAATAAACATTTCTGTATGAGGCAAGGGAGACACGGCTCTAACAGAAGTGCAATCTCCATGGCAACTAAACGTCGCAGTGTGTTGGCTGAATACCTGCCTGCCTGCACTGCCCCCTCTCCATGCATCAGCTAGTGGTGTGTAAATCACACATCGATGATCAAACACAATGTTCTGATAGTCTCACGTCGTTCTGGGTCAACTTGATAACAATTTATCAGCTCACCTTTCACCCTATTTGCGTAAGTGCTTATATATTAGGATCCGTTTTGGCTACACATTTTCGTGGTCATGTTTACATCTTGTTTAAGGTGGTCTTGGTTGACAAACGACATCGGTGTTGACAAACGACATCGGTGTTGACAAACGACATCAGGGTTGACGAACGACATCGGGTCTGTCACGTCCCTTCTCCTGTGACGGAATGCAGTGGTCGAATGTTCCATGAATTTTCCACGGCGGATATCAGAAATATATTTGTTGTTTACATTGCAGGTTTTATGAACATGTATTTTGTATTGTTACAACATGGAAATATTGCAATCTAATGGAAATCTATCAGAAATCGACGTTTGGATATTCGGTTTGTTGCTCTCTAGATTGTCAGAATCGAGTCTGTTTCAGTTTCTGTGGTGAGTAAAGACACACTCAGCAATATTCCAGCTGTATGGCGGCGGAATGTAAATGATATGGACAGGACCACAGAAACAGGTGATTGATAGCATGAGCGTCATTCCGCTCCGATTCATTTAGTCCCCATCTACAATAAGCGTAGGTTGCTGGGGCGACCAACCTCTCCAGAACACAAAAACTAACCACCGTAGCTGACCATTCCTCCTTGTTTGACCTTCGGTAAAATACGTAGGTTCTGGGTAAGAACTTGCGAAATGGGATTTGGGAACCGCGTTCTAATAACTTAACTGACTGATGTCATCGAACATAAAAAGTGTGTTGCTTATGATTCAAGTTACTGGTAAGTCAAACTCAATTACTTAAAGCACACCGCCATACAGCAGGGACCGCGCTGCGGCGTTATACGGCATTCTCTCGCTCGAGGTAATAGCATTGACGAAGCAGTTCTGTAACAGGACCATATGTTATCGTAGTGATAAACATGTCCAAACAACATTGTATCTAGCTTGTTTCAATTCACGAAAACGCAACAGTGCTTGCGTTATCAGTGAACTCAGAACGTTCAGGATGAGTAATGTGACCTGACGGCGAGGGAAACTGCGGGTGGACAAAGATGGGCGGGTCTGGATTCGCCTTGGGCGTTTTAGTGCTTCTGTGTGTCTTGATTAGTTTTGGTAAGTATTAATACAGTCATATATGTATATTTAAATTCTCAAATGCTTATTTCCCCGACCAATGACATGATAGATGCAACTGTTATTACTACTTCCGGGTTTGAAATTAGCGGCTGATTAAAAGTCATTTGTATGGCGTTGACTGCTTTATAGATCATTCTAAGTTCTATTAGAAGGGCGACTTTCGGGCCAAAGGATAGACTGACAAAGACAAGTCGTTTAGACACCACTTTGTTTATTTGTTTTTGTATTTCGGTTTATTTAAATGAACTTTACTGAGCCAGTATCGCAGTATATCGTGATTATCTGTAGCTAGGCCATGGAGTAACACCCCTCTTTAAGCAACATTAATACATAATGATTTTTATATTATAAAACGTTTTAATAAAATTTCCTTTGCTTTTTACGTCCAATGAAATTTGTTTGGTCGGATAATCGAGACTGGCTATTCTCTGGCGTTAACCCTCAGTTTGTGTGATTATAGCAGGGTCATAATTCTGCTGTTATAGTTCGCGTTCGTGTTTGATGGAAAGCTGAAAACTAACAGTTTTCCTTAATTATTAAGTACAGTAAACTACGGTTATAACGAACTGAGAGGGACTACTATATTTAGTTCGTTATAACCGTAGTTCGTTATAAGCATATATACAGCATAACTACAGCAAATAGTCAGGACTAAAAAGTGAGTTCGTTATATCCGTCAGTTCGTTATAAGCGTGTTCGTTATAACCGTAGTTTACTGTATTGTTTTATTCCGCGCTCATGGGAGAATGGTCTTGTTTCCTTGTTGCCATTTAGTGATTCCAAACATTGACATCACCGGGGATTTATTCATGTATTATTATACGTTTTGAAGCTTAGACTTAATTCGACATTTTCAATTAAATTCACTTCGATAATAATAAATGACATTCACTGATAGCTAAAGAAGGTGTCTACTTGTTTGATCAGAACCGCTTTATCGCTATATTAATCTCCTTGAAGTGGTATCAAAGGTACCCAGGATAATAAATTCTGAAAATTAAAAAAAGGTATGGCTGTATGCACACAGGTTATGTTTCTTTATCTCTATATAGGGACACGTGCCAGACTCGCTCGAGGAGTAGTATAAGGGTAGAGCACTTATCTTTGCTCGGGTAAATGCAGTGACGCCTTGTTAATCCTAACCCCGTTAATTTGGAAATCCTTTCTGATAACGTTAATTGGTTGATCCGTGAAATATTAGTACCGTCCGTATTAACGGAGTTTCACTGTAGTAAACGAGAACCTATATCAACCAAAGTCTACGTCCGCATCGTCGGAAGATTAAAACAAACATGACATGTGTATCTGTACATAATAATTATCTTTTTGTAAAAGGGGTCACGGGTAAGCCGCTATCAGGGTATCAACCTGCTTCGTCTATTTCGTAAAAGCAGGTAAACAGTAGCAGTTAGACAACCCATGTAAAGTCAGGGATGAGTGACTTTGCTGGTTAGACAAAGTAGGCATGTTTTACTGTTAACAGTGTTGCACAAAATTAAAACAAATATACGTTTTTTAATTGCATCATTTATTCATCTATCTAAAACGTACACCTTCATTGTTCACGACAAGCATTAGAGTCAAGCATACGCAAGATGTGCAATAGTATCAGTATAATCAATCAGAGATTGTGCAACAGTTTGTGCTTCTTGCGTCTAAGACCCTGATCCACTGCCACAAACCGTCTGCATCCACCAGGTTCACGACATCTCCCTCAATGCTGAGCCAGTTTCACCTCCGTGGTAGACTCTTCCCTCTCGATAAGTTGGACGCAGTGAAAGGTGTTGGGATGGCAGGTGGTCAGGGAATTAATCGTCTTGTGCCAACCCGGTTCTGTTTTCTATACAAGCAACATGATTCCAGGCCAGTTTGTCCCAGGCTCCCATGCTTCAGGAATTGTATAAACTTCTCACATCTCCACTCTCCAAATCTTAGCTATATTCATCCGTACTCCAACCATACTTCTCCGTGCATTTAGTTCATTAGTTAATCATGGTCCTATTTATATGGCATGGTTTGTTTGCAGTGCCATGTTTTAATGACGGACTCTAGTGGTCATGATCTCAAATGGGTTCGAAAATTGGTGTCGTAAATTCATTTTTACAGAGTTATGGCCCTTGCTCCGTGCTTTTCAACTTTGGGCATACTGCGTGAAATGGGGACAAGTTGTCTCAGAAACTACTGACGTTACATGAATGAGAGTTTGCAAACTTATCTGAGCGATGCTTGTCACGACTGAGTTTCAAAATTGGTCTCAGCAATTATTTTTAACAGTTACGTCCCTTGATCAATGTTATTTTACTTTGTGCATTGTGTCTGCAATTATCTCATCTAAGAGATACATATCAAGACTGAGTTATTTTTTTTATAGAGAAGGTGCCTTTGATGTGTTTTATGTTTTTTACCAAATCTGAAACAATTTCGGTTTGCAACGGATAAAAGACTCATGTAAGTGCTCAAATGGTTTAATTTGCCAAACTAACTTCAAACTTATGCGTGATTTCATAAAAAAAAAACATGAACATGACAAAATGTCAATTTACAAATCAATAGCGTGTGTGTCCATCTCTGGTTGCGATGCAAGCGACACATCTTCGTCTCATGGAATGGACCAGGCGTCGCTAAAAGTCCTGTGGGATATCTGTCCATATCTGCTGGAGCATGTTTCGAAGTTCCTGGAGTGTCTGTGGAACACGTGGTTGACGTCGAAGGCACCGATCCATCTCGTCTCACCTGTGCTTGATTGGTGAGAGATCAGGGGAGCGAGCCGGCCAGGGGATGACATTCACGTTGTTTTGTTTAAAAGAATCCTGAACAAGTCGAGCAATATGTGGCCGGGCGTTGTCATGTTGAAATGTAATGCCTGGGCCATGACGACGCAAAAACGATAGAACAACAGGGCCGGTGATCTCGTCGCGGTACCGCTGTCCACTGTCGATTTCCCTCTACCACCGTCAAACGGGTCCCCTGTCTTGATGTAATCCCGCCCCATACCATAACGCTGCCGCCCCCGAACCGATTTTTTTCCATGACACGATGATTGACGTAACGTTAACCTCGACGTCGCTACACTCGAATCCGTCCAACGCTGTGGCTGAGGTAAAAACGAGACTCGTCAGTGAATAGAACTTGTCCCCACTGCATGACCGTCTAGATTAAGCGGCCTACCCCACTGCTTGACGGTCGTTTCCTATCAAAATGGGAGGTGTGGCTGGTCTTCTGGCGACAATCCCTGCATATCTGAGGCGACGACGTACGCTTTGTGAAGATATTCGTCGAAGGCCAAGGATGCTTCTTGCAGTCACTGTTGCTGGCTGGAATCGATTTCGTAGGTGTGTTGTTCGAATCCAGTTGTCTTATCGATTATTGGTTATGCGTGGCCTGCCACTCCGAGGATGGTCTCTGACTGCATTCGTCTGTTGCCAGCGTTGCCATCAACACCAAATGGTGTTTCTGTGGACGTTAAATTGTCTTGCAACATCACGTTGACTCGATCCTGCTTCAAGCATACCAATGGCTCGCAGACGCTCATTTTCGGACAGGCGTGGCATTTCGTACTGTTGAATAATTGCGTAATTTTGTGTTTTTCTGAGTGGTTGTTGTCAGCACGATGCTAAACAATGCATATGGAATCCCGTTAACGCACATGTTTTTATACCCATTCTTGGGGCCTTCATGGGGCTTGCATAAAAGTCAACTTTTGCATGGAATGCATGCTTTCCTGTAGCAGTTGCGTTTTTGTGACTTGATTGCATACCTGTACTACAATATTGAAAACCAAACTTTACTTGTTTGAAAAATACACTAAAATATTGGTGTCACAGGAACTTTTGTTGTTGAGTATATAAAAAAACATCAGGCACGATACATATGTATTTGAATTATGTTATGTCTTGAAAAGTCTAAATGCAAGAGATTAAAAATGTAAAGAAAAAACTGAGTTTGTATTAATGTTTGACGGGGAAAATGGTTATGATTTTACCGCAGAATCTTGTTATTTAAGCTCAGAATTTCGGTAAGTTTACCGCAGAATTTTGATAAATGTACCGCAGAATTTTGATAATTTTGCCGCAGAATCCGGGACTGGATCACCCCTTTAGATGCTTGGTGCTTTCCACATTTGAGATAAGAGTAACCAGGATGTTTGTTAGAATCCCCCGCCCACACACACACGGATAATTTTTCTTCACGTGTGTCAGATTCCCGACGCACCCAGAGCTTGTATTGTTACCTGTGTGGGAGTGATAAAAGAAGTAATCTCATGTGTCACGAGGTATTTATAAAGGATGGTATTACCGTGGGCGTCAGGGGATCAGAGAACATACGAATGATGAAGTTTTATTGTTATATCTTACAAGAGATTCAAGTGTTGTCAACTTGCCTCCCATTAGGCACCGTACGTTATTAATGACAATGGAATCATTACGTGAACTCATGACAGAAAACCTCAACCAGTTATGATATTATCCTTGTGTGGCAAACGAGATTGAATGTGTCGTCTACAGAGATGAAACAGCATCGTGTAAATACTACGAAATAATATCCTTGGCACACTACCACTATACTACTACTACTACTACTACTACTACTACTACTACTACTACTACTACTACTGGGGCGGTCGGGTAGCCTAGTGGTTAAAGCGTTAGCTCGTCACGCCGAAGACCCGGGTTCGATTCCCGACATGGGTACAATGTGTGACGCCCATTTCTGGTGTTCCCCGCCGTGATATTGCTGGAATATTGCTAAAAGCGGCGTAAAACCATACCCACTCACTCACTCACTCACTACTACTACTACTACTACTTCTACTACTACTGGGATAGCCTAGTGGTTAAAGCTTTCGCTCGTCGAGCCGAAAACCCGGGTTCGATTCCCGACATGGGTACAATGTGTGAAGCCCATTATAATTTCTTGTGACCCGCGCCGTCATATTGCTAGAATTTTTTAAAAACGTCGTAAACCCAAACTCACTC